ACCACTGGAAATAACCAAGTGCAGCGCCGGAGCACTGACAATGGATCACGTCTGTTGAGACCAAGGTAAGTACTACGATGCTCCTTCCGCGTCGATGACACGGATGCTAACATATCCCTTGTACAGGATGGACGTACACGAAGACAATCAGAATAACCTGGTGACGGCTACCTTCGAGCTCCCGGGTCTCAAGAAAGAAGACGTCAACATCGACGTGCAGAACAACCAGCTGAGCGTCTCCGGGGAGACCAAGATCTCGTCGGAGCGTGACGAGAATGGATACGCCGTCCGCGAGCGGCGGTACGGCAAGTTCTCGAGGACGCTCCCGCTTCCTCAGGGTATCAAGGTTAGTAGATTTTGTCCAAGTCTTGTGATTCGAGCATCGTACTGACTGTTTCTTCAGCCCGAGGAGATCAAGGCATCGTTGGAGAACGGCGTCTTGACTGTCACCTTCCCTAGGACCGCACCTGAGGCGGCCCCGAAGAAGATCACTATCTCATGAAGTCGCCGGTGTCGAGCCAATGAAGCCTGTAATGCACTTTATACCCGCAACGAATGTATTATATACCTCTGCACTATAAATTCGTGACCTTTAAATTTTCTTCGTTATTGCATTACGCGTGCACGGAATACGACATCGACGACCCGTAAGGGCACATGTGAATGATAAGATCGACGGTAATCTCTCATGTCATACTCGTGCATCATACTTGATCGTCTAGCGGTAGACACTGTGCTCCACGACATGAGCAACAGTTGAAGAGACGGAGGTCTGATGCTACTCACTCGGAACTCCACAAACAAAATCCCGTCGTCATCCCGTCCCCTTCCCGAGGGCATCATGAACTGCATACTGAGCGTTCCAAAATCGTCCGTTCGCATAGAGGTCTTGAGGGACGCCTGCAGTGCCCGCGTAGATTTTGCAATGTGGGAGAAACGGTACCTGGGGTTAGTAGAGTTGAAGGAAGGTATTAAAAAATCGCCAGGCGGCGGGCAAGGCAAATAAGAAACGCACGTGAATTTGACGGGTTGGGTGCATATGAACGTTTCAAGGACCTCGCGGTCGTTCGGGTAATCCATCTATGCAGTCCGTGTATTTAATCAGGGTTTCCAGTGTTTCCTTTGCAGACTGTATAGGGACGACGAACCTCGGTGCTTCCGAACATGCCTTCCGCCAGGATGCGAAAAAGGGGTGTGCGGGATGCGTTGTTCCCTTGCGGAGCAGGTGTACAGACGAAGGTGAGCTTCTCGCAGGATGGATCGAGCTCAGAAAGGGCATCTCGGAGCCATGAGGACTACATTTTCCGGTCGATTTCATTTTCATAACGACTATACCATGAGGGGTGCGTACCTTCAGTATGATGTGCATATTTCTTGCATACCCAGTAAGCATTCAGCAGGGGAACATCCAAATCATGGAGGAAGTACAAACACTGTGTTTTGAGCAAATTCGATCTCCACGGGTCCCTCCGGGTCGAAGGTGGTGAGCTCACATGTTGCTGTAGGACCGGAAGAGCTCTCTGCCCTACTCAAGATTGTGTGAATGGAGAAATCAGACAATACAGAAGTCGAAGCACAAACAGGATGAGTGTCAGAGGATGGCCAGGCCCGGCATATGACATCCTCATGCCCGTGCCGCCCGTGTTGGCAGTGAAATACTTGTCCAAAGGACCATGCCTATTATTCTCGTCGCTATCGCCATCATGATCATTTCTCCGCTGTTTCTTGGATTTTGAATTTGACGACAGCGACGCAGTCCCTGCCGTCCCGAATATGTTCAGACATTCGAGGAGCGTGTTCAAACGTATCTCAAATCCGAGGGCAGGGGCCGAATCGGAGTCTTGGGAAGCGGGAAGAAATCCTTCGTCATTGTACTGGTATTCGTCAAAGACGTGATCCGATACAAAGGCGGTACCTGTGATACAGTGCTAGTCAGAGACGTCGGGCTACGGGCCAATGAAGTGAACTAACCGGTTATTGTCTTCCCTTCCTGAACAGAAACGTTGAAACCGTTACTTGCGAGGTAGATGGTTGCTCTCTATACACAGATCTATCGTAGAAGCGAATCACATCCGGCGTATGAGAACGTACGTTCGAGAAACTAACGCCGCGCAGGAGAGCTGCGAAGTAGCGCACGTCGTGGGACGATGCGCTCAGCACCTGTAGCACTGATTCATGTTCATCACAGTGCAATATCTGCGCGTGCATCACCCACCGGTTTCGGGGGCTGTGATGGAGCGGACATCTGCTGCGCACAGCGCCGGCCAGTGCGAACTGCTTGCAATTGTGGAACGCGTCTGAACCACTTTACGCGTCACGTCACAATCACGGTCAAGCGATGGCGTGAGGCGTCACGCTGCCAAATGTATCCGGCTTGGTGGCGCTGCGTCGGCTTGTCTATGGGCTGCACAACGTTCACCTCGACGACGACATGCATGCGACTGTAACGAATCTGACCGACGATACCATTTTTTACGAGACTAGCGGCGGGAGGGCTAATGCAGAACGGCTCTCCATTGGGCCTTCGTCATCTACGACCGTGGCAAAGCTAGGGTCCAGCTTCAGGCTTCACCTGGGACGCCGTCCGTCTTCTAACTCTACGGAAGACGCCGTTTATCGAGAGGACAAGGCATTGCTCCGGGACTCCTCGTTCGTTATCAAAACTAGATGGACGACTGGGCGGTCCTGGAAAGTAATAAATTTACCGGAAGAGTGCCCATGGCGCATATATCAGATCCGAGTAAGTGTATCTCATCGTGTGTTGGTGACTTCGATTGACAGTTCTGTTTGCTTGTGATAGGTGTCTAGACGACAGAAGCAGGTCGTCATTCTCCCCAAGCGTGATTTGTCGTCGTTCTTGTCCGAATTACCGGACACACTCCCTCTTTCATCTGTACTCCTGCCCGGTACGCATGACACGTGGGTGATATATCGCAACGACATCAACAATGCGCTGACGTCTGCATAGAATGGCTTTCTACGGGTGGCCAGTATCTCAATGCCAATTCATGGAGACTCCCTTACCCGTCCAGCTACAGTCAGGTATTCGGGTATTGGACATACGTCTGTCCGTGATAAAGGGCCGGCTAATCGCGTACCACGGATTATCACCGCAACATGCTCCCTTCCAGCATATATTATCTACTGTTCACGCATTCCTATCAGCCCCTGCAACGTGCCGTGAGACCCTCGTCATGTCGATCAAACAGGAGGACTTCCATGTCACCTCACCGGCAACTTTCTCGAAATGTGTTCATTATGAGATCACGAACGGACCTGGTGGACGAGATATGTGGTTCCTCGAGAACAGGGTTCCTACCTTAGGCGAAGTGAGAGGTAGGGTGGTCATGTTCAGCCGGTTTGGCAGGGATGGGGCTGGCTGGGAGGGCGGTACCAAAGGGCTGGGAATACACCCGACGAATTGGCCCGACAGCGAGAAGCTGGGGTTCACCTGGCCTTGCAAAAATACCCTGGTCAGGACCCATGACTGGTATGATGCCCTCCCTTTGACCGTTGTTTCACGGTCTGACCGACTTTCGACAGGTACGCGATACCCTCGTTCTTGTCTATACCGGAAAAGGTCGAACTATCCACCAAGGTCCTCTTGCCGCCGGAGGACGATTCGCCGATCCCGACACTCACGATTACATATTTCTCCGCGGCTTCACCTCTCGCACTGCCGCCCACCATTGCTCGAGGGTTCGGCTGGCCCAGCATAGGCTTGGGGATTGAAGGCGTCAACTCCAGAGTGGGCAGGTGGGTGCTCGATATGCTGAGTCAGGATTCAAGGGACCAGAGGCGTGAAGACCTGGAGAAGAGTCACCAGCGGAGCAGCACGGACGGCCCGAGGATTAGAGGATGGGCGTTGATGGACTTCTACACTGACCCCGTCGAACATGGGGTGGTGCCCTTGTTAGTGGAGTGTAACTATAGAGGAAGAAAGAAAGGGGACGAGGGCTGGATGTAATCATATTTCTGTAGTGTACGTAGTTTCGTCTGTCGGGCACTGTATCATATCATACTCTCTTTCATTTACCGCCGGCTAGAGTTACCTCGGCCTTTTTTCGGCTTTCGTCTCTGCACGCCTCCCTTTGACACGGGTCTTTCTGAGTTCCTCTGCCATGCACCGTCCATACGGCGTGTTACATGCTGCACAAATACGCAATACGATATGCATATCGTTACGATGACTGATGCTTTATCGATTTCATCCGAGTCAAGCTAAAGCCGGTGATCGCTGCGGGTATCGCGACTACCACTTGTAGTACCCATCTACATCTGACATGGCTCCTTCGGATAGCGACAATAGGGCTATAGCTGTATATTGCGCGTCGTCTCTCGGAGCACAGAAAGCTTACCAAGATGCGGCAATATGTACGTCAATTTACGCACCTCTACCCAGTCATAGCATTGCTAACGCCGTCCATAGCCGTAGGACGGGCGTTAGCTGCAGCGAAGAGACCGCTCGTATACGGCGGGGGATCGAAGGGCATCATGGGTATTGTGTCCGGAGCCGTTCTGGAAGGAGGAGGGCAGGTCACGGGCGTGGTTCCGCAGGCTATGGTTGCTGCAGGTGGGGAGGGGGAGAAGAGTACCAAGGGCGACCCAAAAGACCATGCTGTGTACATTCTACTGGACGAGAGAGGAAGGGAGGATGTACGTCGTAGTGCTGCTGCTCTCGTACAGGAGCTGACCATAGATTGCATCGTCGATGAATATAGGTGGACACGGTGAGGATTTACACGGGGTGTATCTTAGGTTGTTATTCATTCTCCTCTAGGTCATTGTAGGTTCCATGCATGAACGTAAAGTCGAGATGGCCAAGCGTGCTGCGGGCTTTGTGGCTTTGCCCGGTGGTTTCGGTACCTTTGAGGAGGTCAGTAGATGCGTGAGGTCTCTCTTGTTGTCGGTGCTAATCATCTCCATACAGGTATTGGAAGTTGCGACATGGACGCAGCTGGGGATCCACAATAAGCGTGTGTTGCTTTCATTCGCGTGGGCCTAGAGGAGGCGGACTCTGACGACTCAGTAGCTGTCGTATGCCTAAATGTCCTGTCATACTGGGAGCCGCTACGAGCCCTGGTAAAGAACGGTGTTCAGGCAGGCTTTATCCAAGAGAAGAACGAATCATTGATCATTTTCGTCGACGGCCCTGCCGATCATGCAGAACACGAATCGTTCGATTGGGGAAAGGCCGCCTTAGAAGCCGTAGAAGGATGGGATAGAGAGGACGTACGGGGTATGTATGACTGGAACAGAGCTGGGAACGGCGATTCGTTCAAGGTCGCGTAGGGTTTGCCGATATTCCGGAAGTACGTCTTTCGACCGTAAATGGATACTAGGGTTCGGATGCCTCTACGACGACGCGGCCCAATCGGCCGCGAGGCCGGAAGAATCCTGAGATGTCATTCCGCATCTTTCTGCAGGAGGTGAGGGTTACCGGGTAATAGTACAATGCAATCACGCGTTGGGGCACATGCTACTATTCTTGCCCGGCCAGCGTCTTAACATGAAACCAGAACAGGTGAGTGCACTAATTCCACTATTGTTATATCAACAGTCATTCTGGTCTACACGCGATACATGTTTGTGAAGTGCATACAGGCTAGCTGGAAACAAATACAGAATAAATAAAACAAAGGTTCCTGACGACGATAGCTACAGATTATATGAAGAGCTAAAAATTGCAAATCTCGAAAGCGCCGATGAATGTGACGATTATCAACGAGGTAATCGAAGTGTTCAAGCGGTCGAGAAGGTAAAGAATGTGAATGTATAAGGCAAGGATAGAGTCCGTGTATCCGTGTATACGCTAACACTGATTATAGTCAAGATAAGCTCCAGGCCCACTGCTCACAGTGAGTCAGATTACAGGTCTTCGGAAAGTTTGAAGAGCAAGCGGTGTGTTTCTTTATCCAAATTATAGTGAATGGCCTTGTTTCTCGGAGAAGATTCTTGCGGACGAGCAATAAATATATAAATTAAGGGAGCTTCGAGGTTTAGTAAGGCGCCAATATCTCGAAGGGACGTGCTGGATATCCGTTAGTAATTGCTTTCACTCAAAGGGAATGATCACTCACTCCCGCCGCTTGGAGTAGGAATGTTGGACGCTTCATGTTGATTGTCTGTTCTCGTCTGCGTGTAGGAGGGTGACGCCGTGTGAGAATGTGTCCCGGTGTGAGAGGGCCCTTGCGAGTGCGAGTGCGCATGACCGGCATGTGAGCTATGAGAGCCGGAAATTGTGGCATCGAGAGAAGCTTGTACAGTGCTCGTGGTGGACTCGGAGACATCAACTGGAAAACCGGGACCTTAGTGCCTCTGGGATGTCATCCAAGTATGGATATGCGTACCTGAGGAACTTAGGATGTCAACAGCCCTTCCCCACCATTCAGGATCTGTATTTATATTAATGTCAGAACTGCTGACAACGCGAGGCAGGATCCACTATACCAGGCGGGGTGACTACAGGTGGGGTTAGCAGGGATGCGAAGTGCTAGACCGACTCTACTCACTCCGTGCTTTCAGCGGCGCCGCCATCACTTGGAAGGCGACAATAAGGAAGATAATGACGAGGGAGAAACAGTGCTTCATTTTGATTAATTTGAGTTAGGTTGACTAGAGATGATTAAGCTGAAGATGTGGATGGGTAGAGCTTGTCTGAGTGAGTAGGTTCCTTTGCCCCCTCCTTTTATACCCAAGACCCCAGCGGCGATGCCTCATGTGAGTCATAGTGATATGCACTGCTACACCTGCAGTTCACTGACTACGTCCGCGGAGTCAGATGGTGACAGGCTGGTTGACTGTGCCATCAGACCGTCATCCCTAGCAAGCGTGGGTTCAGATCTCAGGCGCTGCGAAGGCTCCAGTCCAGCGATCATTCTCGTCAGATCTCATCTTCAGGCAGTCCTCCGTTGCGTCTCAGGCCTCTTATAGCATCCGTATATAGGCCGCGGGTCTGTGGCACTATCCTGATTTGCGACGAATACTTGTGTGTCAAGCTACTAGCTCTTAAGTTCACTCGAGTTGTTATACTGGACTATTTGCGACACATGTCCGCTCCGAAGCAACTACCCTCACTGTCAGAGGTTTAAACCTGAGGATTGACAGTATATGCGGTCAACAGCAATAGTACTGAATGCGGGAATGCATAACTACCGAGAGGTTGTGCGTGGTGCGTACGTGGTCAAGATTAGATCTAATACTGATTAGTTTGTTACAGTGCATGTCCCTTAGCACAGCTTTGGCAGTTGCAAGAGCTCGCAGCTTCGGCACGGTTACGGTCAGACTGTTGACATTTCGGTGCCGCAGACGGATCAACGGATCAGTTGAGGGCATGGACGGGTATGTTGGTCTCAATCTGCAGCGCGCAATCACTGAGGAGTTAACATCATGGTTATTTTGACCTGCCTGAGCGGGCCTATTGCGTCGGGCGCATCTTCAGATTTCCGTAACATACGTCGCACATACAACCACTTCAGTGTTTCCTGGGCTGAATATTCAATCAAATGTGATACGACGACACGCTGTTCTGGCATCTGCCATGCGGCGCAATTACAACACCAGCCTGGTCTATGCTATGCATTATCTGCGCTGCGTCTCCGCTCCAAATATAGGTCGCTATAGAGCCACATGTACGTATCGTTCCAAAAGCAGTGCATTCTCAAGCCTTCACCGACCACCCCCCTCCCCGCCCGCCAGTTAAAGCGAAGACGTTCGCAGTACGAACACGTATATAACGTGTCGTATCCGTCTTCGCCGCATCTATACTGCGCCTACGCGTAGACACCTGTGCTCCTGTCAATGCCTTCAAATACATCGGGCTGTTCGTCCCAGTACGTGCACCGCAGGATGCTGTGGTAGCAGCTATGGGCTGCCTCTGACAAGACCTGCGCATTGAATGCCAAGTGCCTAATAGTGCCGTTCAAATTCACTTGTCCCATCCGAGTTGACCCAGTGCCACCGTCTCAGGACCAAACAAATGCACCAATTCCAGTGCTAGTGCTTAGTCTAAGTGCTATGCAGCTAGTTGAAAGATATTATTAGACATCCCTACTAAAGGTTCGTCAATGTTGCAATGTAGCCGGGATTCATATATCTTGGGTTCATGGCGTCTGCACAGGGGAATCTCCAGACCTGACTAGCAATCCGTGAAACCCCTTGATGCGGTGAGCCAAAAACGGATCGCTGGCCTTCGCTTGTCCCATTAAACAAGCTGTGAGCACTACCATGATGCATATATGTGATCCCGATGAGGGCGTTTTCCATTGACTCCTCGAAATAGACGGGTCTTGTCTAGAACTGTGCCACACCGACCCCAGGAGCGAGTCACAGAAGGAGGAAAAAAATATCATCATATCGCTTTTGAAATGCCACGAATATTCCCGCTACCGTAGGTAGTGGGTCTTGGACCCCCCGGCCGTTCGCAGGTTTCCTGCGATCGTTTCAAGATCTACGCGATCTATTTGACACTATTTGGCTCTTAACCGTATATGGTGGACGGCAGGACCGGCACATGGCTTTGGACCAATCAAAGATGGGGTCCTCAAAGGACCCCGATCGTAGAACCACGTGGCATCTCTCTTTCCATCTTTAGCCAAGGTGGCGGATGCTGGTCAAGGGACTCAAGAGAACAGACATGACCTAGCTTGGGGCGTTGGAGATGCGGCCTCCAGGTGAAAGCAGCATACTTCAATGTCAGCTGTTTTACATAAATGACTTGTATACTCAGAACCTGAGGGAGGAGTGAGTGGACATCTCTTCAAATCGTTGAGGTGAATGCTCATTCGGAAATCATGGCTGGAACACAACTGCTTTCGCAAAATAAATATATTAGTATATGATGCTGCTCAGGATGTCAAGTTTTCAGCTTGCTACCAAATCTTATTCCGCTGGCTTTACGCGATTCCTGCCTTATTAGGCAGGTGAGGCTCGGCGGTTCCCGGGTATTCCCACGCCTCGCGCGATGCGTCGACGCGTCGCCTTTCCTCCTCGTTCCCCGGCGGCTGCACCTCCTCGGGGATGTTTTGGCCCTCCTGTAGTATATAGAAGTTGTTGTATACTATACAAATGCGTGAATCTATTGGTAAAATACTCAAAAATTGTTCTCCCTGGTCAGTTTAGCTCCCAAGGGTCAGAAAGCGCTTCCGCGAGTGCTTAAGCACTCAATTTACCGCATAAGTGCTCAAAAGCACGGCCTAAGCGCCGTAAAGCATTTATGCCGCTGGATTTACGCCGATTTACAGGATTTACAGGCACGTGATGTGTGGATTTACGAGCGCGTCACGCCAAGGGGCGGACACCGGGAGATGCCGAGACCACATGCAGGGGGAGGGGGGGGACCTCGGAGCCCTTAACTGAGATTTATTATCAGTTAAGCGCCCAGCCATCTGGGGTAAGGGAGCTAACGGGTAGGTATCTGGCACACCATTGGGTACTTTTGAGTAACCTAAATGCCTTTCTGAAGTATCCCAGAGAAAAGCGGTGAGAAAGAATGACCCCTGGTAGCGATCTTCAGAAAAACATATGAATTGTGACCGAAGTAGATGTGACACCCCCTGTGACAAAGTAACCCTAACCCTTGCTTGCTATGCGACATACCTTCCCTTTATGTACCGTGAGACTGTCCCACGGGGGGAGGGGAGGTCCCCTGGAGACCATTAACTGAGATTTGTGGCATGTGGTCTAAAATTTTATTTCTGTCCGCCCCTTGCGTCACGCCCATCCGTACAATCACATCAAGCCGCCGCCGCTTCGCGCGGCGTTCCCGAGCGCTTCTCCCCATCAAACCCCGGGAACTTTGGCGCCCTTGTCGGGATACTCACTTGGGGACCCCAGGACGCGTGGCGTGTAATTAGGACGCGTCTGACGCGTCGAGGACCTACGTGCTCCTGGTCGAATAGTATTATTTCTCGTATTTAGAGCTTTTGTATCTATTCAGAATAATATGTACAGTATCCCCCTTGTATCTACTATGTATCTGACACTACCCGGGACCTTTTAATGCAGCGGGACTGAGAATTTTCGCGCTGTACTTGCTATCCCGTGCCATTAGCCACCGTTGACCCTGGGTCACGGCGGGGTCGATTTACGTAGATTTACACAACTTCTTGTAAACTAAGCCAAATATCTGTACTTATCTATGTCTACGGTAGCGGGCTCTGCCGCTCGCACTGGGGAGACGCAACGCCTGCCAACGGCGCGAGTCGCTTAGTAAGCAGATTGTGGCTGAAGACTGGCACAAGTGCGCCTTGACCCAACTCGCTGTGTAATGACATCGGAGAGTGATTAGAATTTCTTGTAGGATGATATAATGGTTTTTTGGGATACAGAGGATGTGTAATGGCATCTTTTCCCTTTTACATAAGGATGTACATCATAGCTTTCCTATTCCCTCAATTCCCATGCTCAACCACCCATTGATTGTGCTTGCAATGCTCAACAGATTACCTTGTGAGATCCCATATACATCATGAAAGGTGTATATTTATTTTATTCAGCTGACTTGAGGCAGACTTAACCAATTAGCATGTATGACTCGGGATGGTACACTTCTTGTTATGGCTGTAGGCAGAGATATTATGCTTCAGTACACCCAAATATCTGCAAGGGAAGGGAACCATATCAAGAATGCTATATATGAAGTCTGAGAGAAGCTGTGCAGTCTTTAGTGCATTGGAGAGCGGAAAGGCGACCTCCAGTGTGACACCAGAACGCGGTTGTCACACACGTCACTCAGCCAGACGCGCTGATTTCAGGCGCGTTGTGACTCAAATGCGCCACGCGCATGCAGCTCCCTAGAGTCATTTTTGGCTCTTGCGACAGTAGTACCAAATGTTCTGAAGACATATCTGGATGTATCGGAAAACTCGGATTCTTCGAAAATGCATCGTATCTTGGAACACTAGTCAAACAGATCTCTTTTTCACCCTATATGGAGGGAAAGAGGCAAAGTACCGGAAATCCAACATTTCCGATACATTTTAATCATCCTTCTGAGCATTTCTCTCAGCCATATCTTAGCCTGATTCTCGCAGTGTGAAGTGATCTACGTGTTCTCATTTTCGTGACACTCGCTATTAGGGAACAAACAAAGCCAAATAACTCGCCGCGCGACCCAGGATTGCGTCTCCCCACTCGCACGGCCCTACCGCCTTATTTCATGGCGTGCGGTGAGACTGGGCGATGCCACGTGCTGCCGAGGTCTCAGTAGCACTAGTCACGATGATTGCTCGAGTGGCACGATTTCTCAAATCGAGGTATGAAAGCTATTCAACAACCTTGGTAGCTGAGATCTTCCTGCTGCCTCCGCAATTGGAGGGGGCCGAATGGGAAGTAGAATATTCTCTGCCTGAGGACGTCAAGAGGAAGTGTGCGGCACTGCCCGGTATCACTTTATCGCGCGACCCCGGCGCCACCCGATTAGGGCGCCTCGCCTCTCAATTTATGCATGTCGTCGACTTCGTTCCGTACAGCACATGAGCCTTGAATCCGAGCCAGGCGACATTGAAATGGCTTTCGTGGACATCGCACTGCAAGGACGTGAATATCCATATTCTGATTCCCAGCCACATCGGTGGGAGTCGGGCCATAACCTGTGAATTGATTGTTCGAAGCTTCTCTTTCACTGATGTACTGACCAGGAATTCCACCATAAAAACCGCCTTTCAGGGACAATAAGAGCACCCAGATGAGTGCGGCCTATGAATCACGGGACGTCTGCTCATGCAGGAACAAGGAATCTCTCGTGCAACATAACGAATTAGCCACTATCAATCGCCTACCGGAGGAGCTACTGTGCGACATATTCCTCCGCACTCGCCCAGACGACGATGCTTGGGAACTACCCCTTCGTGTCTCACACGTGTGTTCTCACTGGCGTCTCGTCAGCCTGGGCTACCCTCTGCTTTGGAACCACGTGGACTTCGACTGTTTTGGTCCCGCCCTCATATCCGAACTCCTCTCTCGGACAAGAGGTACCACCCTCCATGTCCGGATTACGGACAAAAGCTTATGTCGACATGACGTGCCGTCCCTGCGCAACCTGTGGCCATCCACCATCTCAAATGCATGCTTTCTGTCTCTGATATGCCCACGCATGGCGCTGGACTCGGATCTGTTCAATTGGCTTGTCTCGACGCCAGCTCCCCGGCTGGAATGGCTACAAATAGACGGCAGTGGCCTGTGGCACATCCAGAGTATTAGTCCGGATCAATTCTTTGGCGGACTATCGCCGACGCTTCAGCAACTAGACGCCTTGAATCTTCCTTGGGCATTGCAACCCGGCTTTTGCAAGGGCTTGTCAAAACTAAACCTAGTCTCGGGTAACAATATGCACTCTACAACCCACGACGGCTTCAACATTATACAAGTGCTGCGTGACTGCCCCGATATAGAACAGTTGATATTACATGGACCTTATGATATGATAGGCCCCGACATGCCCGATATCTCCTGTCCGGTCAATCTACGACGGCTTCGGCAGTTAACTCTAAATCTTCAAGCTCACCTGCTCCTTTACGTCTTGCGTCACATCATAATTCCGCCGGGCAGCACCGTCAGAATTCAATCACGGGGGTTCCCCAGGTTTCCAGCAGCGTTAGCTGGCATTCCTCCCCATCTACCTTCCATAGGGCATATGGACGGCATAACAATTAGGATACGTTCCAACCCCTCGCGTTCTGACCTTTTCGCAAGAGAACTGAACATTAGCGGTACCACGATCTTTGGCGGCGAGCTCGGTATTGAACTTGACGATCAGTACTCAGGGTCGACTTTCCAAGGCAATATTGTGGATTCAATTCTTCGAACATACTCGTTCTCTGCCGTACGATGTCTGTGCATAGAGGGGGAACTCGCTGCGCCCTTGAGACGTATGGAGGCAGAGGACGTCGAGTCCGCGGTGAAGATTCTGCGACATGTTGTCAATTTGGAGGAATTGACGGTGCGCAGTATGTCAGACAGTTGCTCCAGACTCTGGGACGCCCTCGCGCGTGGGTGCCGGGATCGGCAGAGCCCTACGTTACCCGCTCTCAGCGTCCTCAAATTGCAGAGGTGTATCGTCACTCCGAGTTTAATGAAGTTCTTCTCGGCGTGGCCCTCAGTGAAGAACCTAAAGGTTCTGCAAATTGTATCTTGCATGAAGCAACGCATCATCTACAATGGGGATGTCATCGCGCAAATCCGGGAGCAACTGAGCTGGCTATCTCCTGGGACGGATATTCAGGTAGTAAACTGAAAGTGTATGTGCTCTTGCGACCTTCTCATGACTGATACTCATTCTAGTCGTTAGAACGCTCATCACGTCACCCCAATGTTTCTTGCAGAACAATACATCACCGTCAGAGGCACATATGTACCTGACATAGAAATAAGTTACGGTACACCCTGAAATCTATTCTCTAAGGAAGTCCAGCTCATGCGATAACAAATGTAAAGACAAGACACTAGAAATCGACCATCGCTCTAGTACGATGTTGCCGTCGCAGCACCTTCGGACCGTTTGCCCCACCAAGCGGTGTCTAACATAGACCCATTAGTCTCGGCTGTGGAAGATATCTCCATCACTTACCGAACGGCGAGGAGGACGTCGTGTTGGACACAATCGTTGTCTCCGCAGCACTGGTGGTCGTAGACGTGGTAGTAGGTGCGACGTCCCTCTTTCCCCACCAGTCAGTGTCTACCGCAGGACAGCCTTTAGTCTCCGCGGCAAATATCCATGCTCTCGCTTACCAAACGACAGGGTGGACCACGTGGCCGATACAGTCGTCATTTCTGCGACACTGGAGGTCGTTGTTGTCGTGGGCGTGTCAGCCCTCTTGCCCCACCATTCGGTATCTTGGGGATTATCTCAGACCAAGTCCGAGAACGACGTTACATGGTACGCACCTGGGCCGCTAATATGGGTCGCGACGCTGGACGTCGCTTGTGCTTTGCCCCACCAGGGCGCCTCTACTCTCTAGTGAGAACGGTACTTAACGGAGGCATCCTTCGGTTCCACTTACCGGCCGTGATGCTCGTGGTGCTCGTTTTACTGGTTGGATCGACCTGTCTCTTACCCCACCATTCGGTATCTACGGGATAATTAACCCGATAAATTGGCTATATACGCATCTGAGAGCTCACCTGGCGGGGTGATGATGGCTGTCGCTTTGTCAACCGGTCAGCAGGGTGTTCTGGGGGAATGGATTAGCTTCGAGATACGTACCAGAAGATTGAGCAGGGGCAGCGATGACGAACGTCAAGCTGACCAGCGCTGCAAGAGTGGCGAATGCTTGCATTGTTCAAGTGGTGATTTGTGGACTAGGATGTAGCTGTGGTGAGCCGTACTACCCACCTTCCCTCTCTTTATATCCTGGACGAGTATATGCCTTTGTTTGCCGCATCGTAGAAGAGATCATGGACTGGGCCTGTAGCTGTGTCAAATCTGGCCGTATGTTCCCGAGCAAACTCGATGCGTCTCACCTATCTTTGCTCCACACACCGCCTGTGCATCCATCTCGCGCCTCGCCGATGAGCTTCCAAGTGGCTTCGGCAGTGCCAGCTTGAGCGCTCAGTTCAAGAAATTCCGACTGGTCTCCAATAATCCCGAGCCGCTATCTCAGTTATTGTCTCCTCTCACTCATATCTCAACCTACCAAAGGCGTATGTGGGCGGCTAACGACGGCTTGGCAAGTGGTTATTGTGTATATCACTTTCGTTTCTCCAGCTCGACGCCAACAGAGACTTCCCGCGTCGTCTCTCTAAAAACTGCCCGCTGTCTCAATCCCGAAGGTAGGTGTCAAGGGGACAATACATTCTATCTGGTAAATTGTGATCTAACAGCTATGGGTACGGCACAGGCCTGATTATCGCGTGACAGGCGCGGGGACGTCAAGGCAATACGCCCTTCAAGTTCATAACCCGCGTTAGCTACTCTTGTACATCCATCTTTTCAAGTTGGATACCACCTCCATTAGCTGTCTTGACATTCAGCTGGCAAAAGAGGCCGGAACCTGCACTTCTTCAGGTCTCAGACCTCTTATTACTGATTGCACCAGGTTCTGGCCGGTGGTCTCGATGGTAGAGGCGAAGATGCAATATTCGTCGACAGGATACCGCGTTTCGATACAATCTGGAAGTCTGTACAGTGTCCGACTCTCGAGGAACATTCTGGCTGCGGAAGATACAGGCAGCTGATCGGCATTCTACTAGCACCATTGGCGTTGATCCGGCTCGACTGGTTTATTCAAGTTCCAATCAGTCTTGCAAAAGTAGCAGCGGTCCCAATGCGTCGCCGTAGGGCGAGGCCTCTCCTCAACTGCCAAATTGTCGGACACTCTAGGTTTCCATCATTGTATGGCCTCGCGCGGACGAACTACCTGTACGGAGTTATTGCTAGTCGCAGTAACCCGTCGATCCCAGACATATACACCGTCGTACGTGCTGCGCTGTTTAATTGCTGCCTGCCAAGATGGCCACAAGTTGCTTGCTGGGTTATGTGTGACGTGCCGATCCTCGTTGGAATATCAGGATGTCAAGCTGCCACTTAATCTATCTTATTCGTAATTAATCCCTTGATCTGCGATCGTGGTAAGGACATGAACGCCACGAAGGCGCACCCAAATGCTATTTCTAGCCACTTGGCATAAAATGGTATGTCTGACCTCAACAATAAATCCACGGGTGGGACATCAACGTTTCTATGTCGTTCTAAAGCCGCGATAACCTGATAAAGGCACGTCAATAAAGTCAAAGCGTCTGCAATGGATGCTGATGACCCTCATACCACGAGACTGAGGCTGGATGTTTCCTGAAACGGACTACAGACGAGGAATCCTGATCTAGATCGAGGACGACGCCCCGTCCCAACTTTACGAGAGCTGACCGGAACTCAGTACAAGTAGAAACCAGTCAAAAAGCCCGTGGTTACGTGCGGTGCTCAAGTTCTAGCCGTGGTAACCTATTGCCCAGTGATAGATACCATGTGGCTGGGTGCTATAGCCTACCCATAGGCGGAGTTTGTAGGTTCGCTGGCACGGGGAGGTCCGCGATGGGCAGACTTGACGAACTACAGCGGCACGCTCCATTGCGTGTGATGAACGCGTTTGTTCCTGTGATTGATTCAACTGATTGCCAGACATCAAATCCATTCTCGGCCCCGAAACCTGTGTTCTCTTGCATGAAACAGATGCCCACCATACAGACGTCATTGCATATTGATGTCCGCCAATCGCGTTAGACGTGGACTTCGTCACTGCTGGCACGCACCCAATTGGCATAGTAAGGGAAGCCCTAACCCTAGTGCCTCAGCGTATGTGTGACGCATTTGAATTGCTTCCAGCAGTGATGCCGTAGGCCATCCAGAGGATGCCACCGAAACTGCCGCGGCCAGCCATATATTCGCAATACTCTATACAGGACACCGCTCATCCCACGCACTAGTCAGTTCTCTGCCTTTGGTGGCTCTGCCGCGCTGGTTCTACACTTGCTCATGGTCGGAATGATCTTCCTCGTTGGGTCCATGAAACGCGAGATATCTTCCTCTGTGACCTGCGCTCGACGCTGTACGGACAGCGTCAATATAGTACACAGATCAGTCTGACCGAGGTGACGCACCTCTTGGAACCCCTTCACGAAGTCTTGTAGTACTTTGATGCACATAGCCTTGAGCTCACCGGTGAGCAGCCGGCCGGCGCGGTATTCCTAGGATTATACTCGGTTTAGAAGCGTCTGGAACGCACCACCTGTCCACTCACCGCTCCTATGCGCTCAAGCTCCTCATCGTCATCCAAGAAGAAACCCAGGTACTGATAACTAACGTCCACCTCCGTATCACCCCCCTTCTCACGGTGGATTTCCTCAGTCTCCCCTCCGCCTGAGAAGCCATGCCGATTGATCTTATTCTTAATCACGTTAACCGAGTCGCTCATGTATATCCCTGAGTTGGGGTCGGACGCGCTCATCTTGGTCTGCGGGCCCTGGAGCGCGGGGAAGAACTTGGAGTGGAGGAGCGTGGGTTTGGGGTACTTGAGCTTGACGGCGACGTCGCGCGTGAGGCGGAAGTACGGGTCCTGGTCGATTGCGCAGGGGATGAGGCACGGGATGTTGGAGGTCGTGCCGAAGATCTGGGGGAAGGAGTTGGAGAAGGAGGGCGCGGCCTGGATAGAGGCGAAGTGGATCTTGCCGATGTTGTCACTTAAGGGAGGGGGGTTTAGTTACCGGGGGTTGGAATAAAATTGGAAGTGAGCTGAGCTGAAGGGCACTTACGACTCCGTGAAACCAAAGGTGGCGCGGGCCTGGCTAAAGGTGATTTGCCGGGATATCTTGGAGATGTTCTTGTAGAATGCCCCACCGACGTAATCGTAGTCGCTGAAAATGAACGTCTTCTCCAGGTCAAAGCCGACAGCGATGATGTCCCTTGCATTCTCCCGTGCAAATTTGTATGTCTGTTCTGGCTTCAGCTCGTGCTTGAACAGGAATTTCTCATCATCTGGAGTGCGAGAACATCAGAGACCAGGAAAATACGAATCCAAGGCAAAGATAGACTGACCGGTGAGTTGTACAACTAGGGGAACATTGAAGACGTCTTGGAGCCACCTCCATCGTGTATGAGACTCCGTACCGAATCTATAGGTACTGCCACACTCACTTTGTGAAGGTAAAGGGTATCATATGCCCCAGGTGCATACTCCCGCTACTTGGACCCCGTCCAGTATACAAGAAGAACGGCTTCCCCTGTTCATACCGGTCCAAAATCTTATCAAACTCCCTACCCTCTCCTCAGCCTCCCCCTCGCCAGCAACAGTTAACGCACTCACCGATGACTGAAGAACATCCCCCGCCTGAGCAGGACGTGCGGGCGGTGGCCCGTGAGCCGCTCGAAGCGGTCGAGCAGCGCCTGGTCGACGCGCTTCGTGCCAAACTGCTCGATCAGCTTGTCGTAGTCGATCGCGAGCTGCTTGCCGTCACTCGAGACGGAGCCCTGGACGTCCCACGGCGTGACGACCTGGTCGTGTGCGGACGCCGGGTCGGCGGGCTTGATGGCGGGGGCGCTGGTGTCGGCATTGGGGGCGGGGGTGGATGCAGAGGTCGGGTCGGGCGTGGATGTTTTGGGTCTGGAGAACCGCGGGATGAGGTCGTCTGCCGATTTGAAGTATACGGGTACTCACCCGTCGAGGCTCACACCGCCTAGTTTCTGCACAACCGTCTCCACAGTAGCAGGTGCTGTCGAATCACCCGCAAGCTCATCAGGGACACCAGGGGGCGGTACCGCAGTCATTGTCAGCTAGTCGCGAATTGCTTTGTAAATCGTGTAGCAGTTTCAATCCTCTCTATGTTTTTGAACAGGACAACCAGAACCGACAGCAATAACCAAAAGGGAGTACTCCGGGATATCAGGAGAACAAGAGAGCGGAAGGAACCTTGCACCGTGTCTTCAGCCACAGCGCAGACTTCCGAGTCATTCATCAAAGCATCACGATAAGGTCAGATCACGCGTAGATCAGACGCGTCTACACAGGAACACAGAAATAAAACATACAGCTATATAACATATTTACATGCCAGCGTAGGGTAGAATAGGATAGTACACAATATGCAAACGCGAAAACCAAAGCAAGCAAACGGGGAGGAAATAAAGATACGCCAAACCGTCCGACCGAACCGTCCGAACGTCCACCCCTACTCGACGCTGCCTTCAAAGTCGTACTGCTCCCGCCCCTCCTCGGCCACGGAGGCGTCGACGTTGCGCAGGAGCGGGTCGAGCGAGGACAGCTCGTCCTTGATGCTGTTCCGCGCAAAGGTATCGAGCTCTTTCAGCAGCGTGGACGTGATTTTCTACGGCATCCCGTCAGCTACGCACCAGCAACCAAAGAGGAATCACTTGCTTTCAACTTGCCGTCGATCTTGAGCACGCTCTCCCCCAGTCCGGGCGTCCAGCTTGGCGGGGGGCTCCCGAGGCCGCCCAGCCCCGGCGTGCCGCCGAACGGACCCTGGCTGCCAGGCCCTCCGTGCGCGTTGGCGATGCCCCACAATCCGTTGTCCGGATCTGCTTCTGCCTGCTGCGAGAACAAGTACGACACGCCCGGGTGAGGGGACAGCGCGCCGAGAGGCCCAAGCATGTGCTGTGCGTTAGGGAAAGGCGAGGGCCCAAGGAAGCGGAGGATTTTATTGTATAGCTCGGAGAGGACGTCTAAGAGCGATAGGAGAGTTTGGTGGTAGTCGAGGGGGAACGGCTGTGAGGTGGGGAGTTAGTGGGGAAGACGAGGGCAGGGGAGATGAGGTACGGACCATGTGGGGGATCACTAGGTAAGAGTTGTCTGAGCTGTCAGAGTAGGATATCGCATAGTCGCTCACTGCGCCTGCCTGGCGCTTCGACATCCTCGATCTACTGAATAATCTCTGGAGAGAAAGCAGTCAACAGCCTGATCGGTTGAGCCGGCTCTCTACGTACCACCCTCGACTTTTCCTCGCCTTCCTTCATGTTCTCAAACTCATTTAACGTGTTTAACAGCCCGCGCAGGAGATCCTGGGGTTGCTGAATGTCGAACAGAGTAGACAGCGACATGCCTAGGATGGCAAAGCGGTATGTCCTGATCACCTGGGCAGCTTAAATCGCGCACAATACGAACGAGCACCGATGGAATCTCACCGCTTCTTCATCGCGGTGTTGTTGAACACGCGGTCGAGCTCTGCCCGCGACATCATGATGGTGTGGAACCAATGACTCCGCCTAGTTCCCCATGAGTATCGCAGCAAACCAAGAGTCACAGCCAGACGTACCCATCATGCACGTTGCGCATATAAGTCAGAGTGATTATGCGCTTCTGCAGCAAGTCTCGCAGGTACTCTACGGACGTGGCGGTCCCCAGCGCTGGACTTGCGCCTGCAGTGGGCACCGCGGAGGGTACCCCGTCCGACCCCATACTCTGCACATCCCACTCCCTCGTCACAGGCGTACTGGTCGTGGGTGTCCCCGTGTATGAGTGCCCCGCGTTCGAGAGGCTCGCGGTCGCGATGGGCGGCGGGGGGCCAGGCGGCGCGCCCTTGAACGACGCGAGGAGGTTCTGCGCTGACGATTTTCTGCGCATCGAGGGCCGCTGGGTGTCGACGGGGGCGGGGGCCATGCTCATGACCGGCGCAGCGAACGAAGCCATCGCTAACTACGCGAAGCGGGCGGCACGCGCACGCTCGATTCGGAAGGACCGAACCGCGCCCGACGACGCGTTGTGGCGTCGCCGATATCCTCTCGCTCATCCCGCCACCACCTTTTATTCCGCTTTTTATTTTCCTCGCTGCGCACGTCGACGTCCACGATGGCCGATATCAACAGCATCGCGAAGCAGTTCACCGAGTTCTACTACTCCACGTTCGACACGAACCGCGCCGGGCTGCAGTCTCTTTACGTGCGTCCTCCTTCGCAGCGATATCTGGGATCTGCCGCCTGACGAAAAGCAATCACGCTCGACTGTCCTTAGCGCGATGCCTCGATGCTCTCCTTTGAGGGCCAGCCCACCCAGGGCGCGGCTGCGATCGCAGAGAAATTGACCGTGAGTGCTGGTTTTTCGTCCAGGAATGCGATAAGATCGTGGCTGAACGCTGGTCGATTTCGCAGAGCCTGCCCTTTCAGAGAGTGCAGCATAAGATCACCACCCTCGATGCCCAGCCATCGTCGCCCACGATTGCCAGTCTCATCGTCAGCGTCACGGGTCTCCTACTGGTGCGTGTGGATCCTTGTATCACTTCCCATCAAGCATTCACGCGTCCGCAGGTCGACGACGGCGAGAATCCATTACAGTTCAGTCAGGTCTTCCAGCTGATACCGGAGGGAGGGAGCTACTACGTGTAAGCATGCACACTTGATTCATGTCTAGTCCTAAACGGTTCCCTAGCTTGAACGACATTTTCCGTCTCAATTACGGTGCATAACGAGGATCGTGACTGGCGATGGACGGTAAATAGAGCATGAGCAGTCCTATCCCTGTCAAACGTGCTTGTAATAGTGGAAAGACAGAGTTTGTATGTCTTGATGTAATGCGATTTTTGGTGGGAATTCTGGTGATATCACCTGCGATCGAAATCGATCTCCGAATACCTTCGAAGACCTGGGCGATGTCATAGAAGAAGGACATAGTGAAAGTGTTCCATGAGGATGAAGAAAGAAATATTACAGTACTACTATGCACAAGAGTGGAATAGCCAGAGCAGCCATAATCTAGAAACAACCTATCAAGCCAACGTCCCTCATACTCCCGCCACGATCCTAGAAAATCGTTTCCATCAGCAAGAGCATGAAACACGACCTCAGAAAAGCACTTACTCTTCCGCTTTATTCAATGCCTGTATCATCGACACGACCTCCTTCCTCCGGCTCACGACGAACTCCGACTCCTTCAGCAGCTCATCCAGCACCTCGGGCTTGTACAGCTCCTGTAGCAGCTCCCGCTGCAGGTTCTCCTTCGCAAAGTTCACGAGAGTCAGCGAAATCGCTTTTGGCACCATATCGATCATCTCCCGCTTCACGATGTTGTAGTACGAGTGGATCAGGAGCTCTGCGCCGTCATCAGCCAGCAAATCAACGACCAGGGGAAAAGGGACGCACTGATAACCTCCGTCTCCATAACCTCCCTATCGCTCAGCGCCGACTGCGGCCTGATCACTGGCGGTGGCTACAGCAGAGTCACTTCAGCACAACTGCCACCCACGAACCAACTAGACGGACTTCACTGACCGCTTCCATAGTCGCCGTCCCCTTCTTCTTCGTCTGCGCCGTCTTCCCGGCGAAGAACGACCCGAAGAAGCTCGGCTCCTCCTTCTTGGCATCTACGTCCAGGTCTTTGTTGTTGTTGATCTGCCCGGGCGCGAGCTTGCCAGTCTTGGGGTCGGCCTGCTGCGGTGGGGGCTTGTTGGCGTTTAGTCGCTCGTTGACGATGGCCATAGCCTGGTAGGCAGGCTTAGTGTGGGCGCACAAACTCAAGGAGAAACGGTCCTACCTTGTGACCATTGAGGAAGTCGGGATGGGTCGTGTTAATGTAGCATGCTTGCATACTGAGAAAGAATGTCAAATCAATATCACGTTCTCACCTCGGTTAACCTGGATACTCACGCAACCAGGTCAGATACGAGTTTCGTGGTGGGGTTCATGGCCTTCTTGAAGAAGTTGACCACTACAGAGTTGAACCGGTCCCGGAGAGCAGGATAACGCCGGAACGCTTGCTGTAACACATACTTAGTCAGTGGAATCGGCCAGAGATGAGTAGTACGAGACGCTAACAATCTTCTGCAGTAGTTGCCCCAGGATGCGGATCAGCTCATCGTACACGAGGGTACTGCACTTCAGACTGGGCTCCTCCAATCGCTTGATCTGCTGCTTCACAATGACCTCGAAAGCCGTTGTCCCAACGAAGAGGGCTGGTGTCGAACCCTACCAATCCCCAATCAGCCCAGAGCCACATTACCGCGCAAGCACTTCGCTCACCGACGAGTTATACAAGATCGTCCTGATATCCCCGTCCTTCACTTGGTCGAACGGATCTATGCTCTTCACGCCATTGTTGAACAGTTCGTGGAACACAAAACTAATCCTAGCGCCACCCGAGAGCTCGTTCAGCGACAAGTCATTCGTGTTACCGTCGATCGACGAGCGGAACTCGGAGGTGAATTCCGTAATGACGCTGAGGACGATGTTCCCCGAGTTCCCGTCGCCCGTCGGCCCCCCGAGCGACTGTAGTTCCGCGTTGTACTTGGATAGTTGTGACGATATGCGCGCCTTGATGTCCGGCAGCGTTGCACGGATGTGGTGCATCAGGATCTACGGCGCACCTTGATCAGCAGGGGTAATGCATCGGAGACTGGGATAAAATATACCATGTTCAGCTTGCGCGCCAGGAACGGCGTCCCGCAGTACTGCGCCTTGCCCTTGTACGACGGGTGGTTCTCGAAGAACTGGCGCTCGTACTCGAGCGCAGCTTGGATCGGCTTGTTCGCCTCAATATCGCGCTGCCCGCGGTTGACCACGGGCACGTACCCCAGGCGGAGCGGGATCACTCGGCCAGCGAGGATATCCACGACGTCCGTCCCGGCGTCCCTGCGCTTGGTCAGTGGATGAGATGAATGGCAAACAAGCCGGACTTACATCAAATCCACCTTCGTAAGCACACCGATCGTCCGCGTCCCCTCCGGATCCACCTCCCGCGCCAGCTTCAACCCATCCGAGTTCGCCAAGTCCGTGTTCGCCGCAGTCACCGCGAGGATGATACAGCTCGGCTTCGATATGTACTTGAGCAGCATCTCCCGGATCTGCTTCTCGATGTCGCGCGGCTGGTCGCCCACGGGGACCTTTGTCAGGCCGGGCAGGTCGACGAGCGTGAGCGTGAGGACGTTGGGCGAGAAGATGCGCAGGTTGATGGGGAGCGGGGAGATGCCTGCGTTCTTGCCCGTCTTCGCCTCGGTGTCGCGGACGATCTCCGCGCGGATCTTGTTGAAGTCGTAGAACTTTTCGCCGGGGAGGTGCAGGAATTCACCCCACTCGTCGGCGTTGGCGGCCTTGTCGCCGTCTGCTGCGCCGTTGGGGGCTGGCGCTGAGGAGCCAGTCAGTGAGGAAATGGAAAGGCCTAACGAGCGACTCACATGAGGTGCCATTCGTTTGTGCGGTAGCTGGGCGGTTGATGAGTTGTAGGACCTGTATATTCCATCAGGCATTGTAGGATGAAGTCATAATCCATTAACGTACGAGGGGTCGCCGCGTCACAATCCCCGTTCCACGGGGCAAGAAGTCTCGTCCGACGATGTTCTAGGTTGCAGACATACATCAGTATAGCAAAGCTAACAAAACACACCCTTGAACTCACCTCCAGCACACTACTCTTTCCACTACTCTGACTGCCCAGCACGCATATTTGCGGCAAGTCTATTGAGTTGGCCGACGAGCCCACCGCGGTAAAGACATCCTGTAGTTTGTTGATGACAGAGACCACCTCCGTTCCGAGATTCGCCATTTCGAAAGGTCAATTTACAGTCGTTCGGTAGGAAGAGGAGGGAGGGTATAAGCGTTGGAAGCAGCAGGCCAGGCGACTGCGACGCGTTTGCCCAAAGCGGGTCAAATAACAACTCCGCTCTCCGCAGCGAAATGCGACGCTGTGCTTGATCTCTTACTTCCACGTCTTTCTCTTGTTGTCCATCTTGCTGAGGTTAGTCTGGAGGGTTACTGCCGGGCTGAAGACTACAAAAGCGGGCTAGGAATATCTCCCAGTTGAATGCTCTAGTGTCTCCTGGTCTTGCTGCTATCTTGCAGCTATCCTGGGTGGTGTGGCGTCAAGCTGATATATCCCTTCTTCACCAAGGCTCTCAGCCAAACCAGCTGGTTGTATATCTTCGGATCTTAATTCTTCTGCTGAAGACTTTCGCGATCTCTGGATACTCTCTTGACCGGTTGTGCTCGCCGTGGCTTGGTCCTTGCCCTGTTCACTCACGTTGTTACTGTCTCTGACGTTCTACCGACGTTCGACAGCCTTTTGGATCTTCAGTTGATCTTGCGGAGTTTCCCTTTCAATTTCTGCCATGGCTTCGCCCGCCAAACGCCATATGACTCTTGCGTAGACCTCTTGCTGTTCCTATCGGACGACTCCCTAACTGCGGCGTGACAGATGCACGGTAAATTCCGCATGTCCTGAAAGTATACGTACTCGATACTCTCTAGATGTGCGAAATGTATCATGTCCGTTGCGCCAGGATTTCTGAACGAAGGAATTCCTGCCGGTCCGCTCGTCTACAAGTGCGTGACGTTGGTCACTCGTGACAATCCAGCACGGAGTCAAAAACGGGTCATGAGAACGAGGCGACCATCTGCTATATATACCGGCCTCCTCGCAGCCATCGTTTCAGCCGCTACCGCCATGCGACTATTCACTCTCGTCGCGGCGGCTTGTCTTACTGGGTCATCCTGGGCAGCATCGGTGCCTGCGGAGCTGTTCTCCCCGCTCGTGGCCTCTAAATTCCTGCAGACAGCGCAGAACGTGCCGAATCCCGTTCAGTATCCCCAATATACCGACCGCTCGCAAGGCGTATGGCAGTACTTCCCGGCGGACTACTGGACCACTGGCTTCCTCCCTGCTTCTTACTATGCCCTGCACACGCGCTTCGCCTCGCTCTGCCCGAACTCTAGCGCCGCGCAACAATTCCTGGACCTGGGGAGGAGTCTGAGCGCGCCTGAGGTTGCGCTGGAGCAGCACACGACGGTGGGGCATGATGTAGGGTTTCTGAGTTTTCCCTTCGTGCAGGAGCTGGCAGTGTGAGTGGGCGCGAGCGCGAGCGTGCGAGGTATGCGTGCTCAGGGCTTTGACAGAGATTCGAGCAATCAGACTGCGGTCACCGCGGTGAATACGTTTGCGACTCTCTTGGCGGATCGGTTTAATCCTATCGTGGGCTGCACGAGGAGTTGGGACACGTCGGATCCTACCGATTTTCAAGTGAGTTTATACCGCGTACCAGATACGCAGCAGTTAACATTGCTCTCCAGGTGATCATCGACAACATGATGAACCTGCAGGTGAATCAGTGCCCCGTGTTGAGGTTCCTTGAATGCTTGTTCTGACACTTGACGCCGTTCCGAGGTGCTCTTCGATTCGATGGCTTTGACAGGGAACACGACCCTGCGGGACATCGCTATGTCCCACGCAGACAAGACGGCCCAGAATCATATTCGGCCCGACGGTCAGTGTCGTGCATTGTAAACGTCTTAACATGTGCCAACTGGGGGTCTGCAGGTTCTTCGTACCACGTCGTCGAATACAACTCGACCACCGGGGATGTCATCAGGCGGAGGACCGCGCAGGGGTACGCTGATAATAGGCGCGCTGGCTTTCATTCATGTTATCCTTCTGCTCTTGGCTTAATGGTGAATATAGTACGTGGACACGCGGGCAAGCGTGGGGGATCTACGGTTTCGCTAATAGTCCGTACACTCTGGGTGTCTGTAGCTGATATCCGAGACTAACACCACACATCTTTCGTCTAGTGTATCGCAACACGAACGAGTCCCGGTACATCGAGACGGCGCGACGGATGGCCTCGTTCTATCTCTCGCAAGTACCGTCTGACGGTATTGTGCCATGGTCAGTGTCCTTCTCGTGCCGGGTCTGTTCGATCCTAAGATTCGTGAACGATGTAGGGACTTCGACGCGCCTCTCGATCCGCCACGACCAGCAGACAGCTCTGCTGCTATGATCGCCACCGTCGGCCTGCTCATGTTGTCCCAGCAAGAGGCATCCCTATCTCCTTCGAACACCACGGGTGCGCAGTACTGGAGTAACGCCGCCATCAAGGTGATCCTCCACTATGTTTTTGATGGGTGCATGAAAGCTGATCATGTTTCGTTGCTGTTCGTGATCTCAACTGTCTATCGTTGATGCGATAGTTGTTGAGTGATAACACTGCGTTTGCGTGGAAGCCCGAGTGGCAGAGTTTGCTTTCGAACGGGACGGTGAATAACCCAGCTTCGCCGCCCAATAACCTCACTGGGATCATATACGGTGCGGTCACCTACGCCCTTGCACAATTCAAGCGCAATATACGGAGTACTGATGAAACTACAGGGGACTACTACTTCGTGGAAGCAGGGAATCAATTGATCTCCATGGGTCTTGCATCATGTTCGGGCAACTCAACTTCTCCCGCGAGCCCATCATCGTCCATCCAGCCAGGCCAACAACACACATCCGGAGCTCCCCGAACAAGACGCATGTGGTTGTTGTAGACTCGTCGTTACCGATACGTAGACAGCTGTGATATCACAAGCGAGTCATTGAGTCGTCTTAAGGCGCTCCACAATACGCCTGTATTCCTCCGGGAATCCGCCTGGCTTCGAGTCAGGTCATGAAAGGTAGAAGGGCATGACACTTGAGAATGAAAGAGCGCGGCAGAGTCCTCGCGAACAATGTCTTGTGACTCCAGAGAACAAGCCAACTGCCCTACCAGGCGACAAAGAACCAGACAGAAACAAGGTTCCTTGAAGAGCGTCAATCTTCAAGATGCACCGCTTGTGATTGAGAAAATGCAGAGCTTCCAGTATCGGACCATTTGTCATGCGGGTGGGAACGGCCGGTGTACGGGCGCCTGTGCGTGTACGCCATTGTTCAGGACATGGTAAGCAATGGGACCACTGGCGACGTTGACGAGTCCAGCAGCGGTAGAGTGTGCATAACGAGCAAACCATGGTCGGCGGCGGCGACGACAGCGACGTTCCAAAGAGTTCCAGAGACGACGACGAGGAACCGCCCGGAGCCGAGGTTGACGTGGTGGTTGATTGATAAGACGTGTGTGGCTCACAGTTTACGGTTGTTTGGCTCTGACTCGATCGTCGGAGTTTGAATGCCCAGGTATATAAGAGCGGGTCCTGCGTCGCCTGTTCACCCCTCTCACCCCCCGTAGAGATTCCCACGCCTCACACGCGTTAATTTTTCCATCCTCTACGCGTCGCAGCGTTATACTCTACTGCTCATCGGTTCATTTCAACCCTTTCGTCGGCTGTAGAAGATGTCGTTCTTGCCTACTCGCCAGGTTACATTCGGGCGCTCGAATGTGCCACAACATCAAGTGAACTTCCAGGCGCAGCAGCAGTTCCAGCAGCAGCAGGCGCAGCAAAATCAACAGCAGCAGCAGCCCAACTTCGGGCTTGCGCTGCCGTCGTCGGGGCCCCAGCTGCCTCTACCCAATCTATCCCTTCCCGGCCCTACCCCATCCATCCCGCCACAGCCGCATCAGCCCCGCCAGCCCTCTCCTCTGCGATCGCAGTTCTCGCCTTCGGATTCGCAGTCGCAAACCGTTGCGCCGTCGCAGACGAACGCTGTTGCGGGGCCGTCGACGCCGACGGTCCCGGCTACTCCTGCACCTCTCACCCTCGAGCAGCAGCACATCACTGCCGTCGAGGGCATCGTTCCTACCCTCCAAAACATCGTGGCCACCGTCAACCTTGACTGTCGTCTTGATCTGAAGACGATTGCCCTGCACGCTAGGAATGCGGAGTACAATCCTAAGGTAGGCTACCTTCATTCTCATCGCTATGGTGCAGACGAACTTCTTCTTCGTTCGTCGTCACTTAGCGTTTCGCCGCTGTGATCATGCGGATACGTGACCCCAAGACCACTGCCCTGATCTTTGCGTCGGGCAAGATGGTCGTGACGGGTGCCAAGTCGGAAGATGACTCCCGTCTGGCGTCGCGCAAGTACGCTCGGATTATCCAGAAGCTTGGCTTCGACGCCAAGTTCTCCGAGTTCAAGATCCAGAACATCGTGGGCAGCTGCGATGTCAAGTTCCCTATCCGCTTGGAGGGTCTGGCATACAGCCATGGTCAGTTCAGCAGTTACGAGCCTGAGGTACGTCGTCGGTTACGTTTTAGTGAGGACTGGGACTGACTTCTGTGTTAGCTGTTCCCCGGCTTGATTTACCGCATGATTAAGCCCAAGGTCGTGCTGCTGGTCTTCGTTTCTGGGAAGATTGTCTTGACCGGAGCTAAGGTAAAGTACCATTTCCATCTATCATGTTCTCGAATCTTCGGCATGCGCTGGTCGCTGCCGAGATGATGCTTGACTCGGGTTCTGTCCGAGGTCCTACCATGTTCATCGGATGCTGACCGCCGTCTTCACCCTGTACATCAGGTTCGAGAGGAGATCTACACGGCGTTCAACACGATATATACGGTTTTGTGCGAATTCCGCAAGCCGTGATCGCCTGCGCTGCTCCTGTCCCCAGCGCACCCCATGTCTTCCCTTATGTTTCCTATACCCACTGTCACGATCCCATACCCACCAAGGACCATCGACCATCTCTTCTCGTTCTGTTGCCTGTGTCTTGTGTCACGTTTGGGGGTTGATGTGTGTCTTGGGTGGCAGTTGGGATTGGGCGGTGGCGTAAAATCTTTTGACGAGTCCGAGGGGCATCAGGTGGATGAGCGGACGTAGCGCACGGTTGATGCTTGTTCTTCTCCCTCGATCGGTTTACTCTAGATTATTTCTGTTTATCGTCTCTTAATTGTGTGCAATAGTGGGACTGTGCAATAAACCTGTACATCAGAGCAACAGTAATTAATACATACGCCATCATCTCAAACGTTTACGTGCAGGTTTGTGGCGTTCATACGGCAAAGTCAATCTGGTTAATCATCCCCTTCACCTTGTGTTCCCTGTATCTCCACGCGTGCTATGGACAAGTGATATTGAGGTCAAGCGTAAGCTCGATAGCCGGAGAGAACTTAAACCAATAGCATTGAGGTGGCGATAGTTCGTCGTTGAAGACGACCTTGATCATGAGCAGGTGCCCCGCACTTGCAGCGCCGGGCATCTATTATGTTCACATCCGGCGAGGGTGAGAGTACTTATTTTCCACGGGAGGGAGATCTTGAAGTGTGGTAGGGCTGGCGCAACCTGGGTCGGAGACCAATACTACCTTACTGCTGTGCCTATATGCGCGCCTCCACTGGAATCTCCGGGCTTGAAGTGGACCTCGAAGTCTGTTTCATGCCCCCCTCCCCTGAACTGTGATACTCCGTGGCTGGCAATGCGCCGCACAGGGTGAGTACTAAGTCTTTCTGGCAGATGTGAGTTGACGAACCACCGCACTCGCTTGATGATGCTTCCTGCAAGTGGCCTACGGGTTAGGGTTTATGTTTGGAGGGTGCGTAGTCGCTGGCGGTGCAAGGAATTGCAGATGCGTCTCATCCCGCCGGCCCATGGGGGATTTGAATGCTGATATATTGTTGATACAGGCCTTTTGCTTGGTCTCCGAGCGACGTCCTTCGTTGTGGCAGGGGCCACTCACGCGCCACCAGGCCGCAGCCTTCAGTCATCTGGAGCACCAGGATCTGTGTGGATGCTGCCTTGCGTTCCGTCACCGCATTGTGTAGCACCATCCGTGTCGGTCGACGTATTAACTGTCGCAATGTGGAAATGACGGTGCAACCTCGTTCGACGGCAGCGCACTTAACCTCGTTACGTCTATTCCTGGACTGTCGCGTTGCAGAACATCGGAGGCCGACCCATGCGCATCAACGATGCTGGGAATGGACGTACAATCGAACAATGGTTCTCAGCCGGGAACACTGGTCGGTTGTATTGATCAGGGGCAATAACTTGAAACGCGATACACCTACGAGGTTGTGCGTGACCGATGGTTTTTCTTCTTCACGGCTAACAAGAGCAGTTGGTTCATAGGGAACCACCCGCCGGCCGCCCCGCTGCAGGTTAAACATGGCGAGCGAAAATATGGAAGAGGAGAGAGACGAATCCAGAATTTGGACGCAACATTCTCGGTGTATATGAGATGCTATCGCAGCCTGAGGCCAATCAGTGCAAGTGTAAGTACCAGTTCTCGTCGTCAAGCTGCGACACTTACTCGCGTCCCCGCTGGGATCGCAGCCACTAGCATTCAGTCAAGCCAGAGCCTCATGCGAGACGCCGCAGAGCGGCGTAGCATCCTCCTTATTATGGACTTGTTGGTGACCCGACCGTAGGATAAAAGGCCACAAGCAAAGCCGGTGTCTCCAGTTATCTAACCCACAAGTACATCCTATTCATGAAGTCAGTACTAGCATTTTTCACAGTCGCGGCGGCTATTGTTCAAAGTACCGCCGCACCCCAAAGTAGCGGCACAGGTAAGTCGCGTTCATTCAACTTTCTCGAGCCTTTTCTAAAGTGACTGACGATGACGACAGGTGGTACCGCTGACGTCTTAGACAATGGCCAGGCTTGGAAGCAATATTGCAGCTTTCCTACGAGCTTTGTCCTGCCGACATTTACGTTCTGTGAGTAGCTGCTTTTCAGACAGCGGGTACATTGGAGCTCACCTTCGAGCAATGACAGCATTCGAGCCGGACTGGTGGGGCAAGCGAGCTCAAGAGACGGGTAGGCCCGCACAGGATAAATAAGATCGATGTCTATAGCCTAGGAGATCCGAAGAGACACTGTATTAGACGAGCAGGGGAGCATAGTTTGAACACGTAGCGGTCCTGGAATCAAAATTTCGATATAACAGTAGTTCCAGCTAGGCCCTGGGGCATCTCTGTGCAACCAGTGTTCGAGCTTCAAGCGGAGGATCTTCTAAGGGATGAGTGTCAAGGGCACCCAGCCGATCGGCAGGCTCCCAGACGAAGCCTGCGAACACGCGAGACGCTCTGCTTGTGCGCTCTCCTTGGCGTGGTTCGTCTGACGCTGTGTCAGGGTGCTCCTTATCTAAGTGCTGGATGGCGATAATACACGTTGACTTCCTTTTATCCTATTTCGTTCGTAACTTCCTTTCTATCGACACGAAGTTCCAGCGCCAAGGCTGTCCGGATCCACTCTGCAGCACCTTGAGTGTTGAGGCACGACAGCTGTTAATTGAATCCAAAGCAGAACAGAAAGAGTTAAGCATACAGTGATAACCTAAGGGCGAGGAGCTCGGGTATTCCAAACTTCTGAGGCAGCCTATTCATTCGCGGTCCTTGACATATCGACTAGAAGATCCCTGTCAATATTACCCCCTGCTCTCTTGTACGTCCGGACTCCGGAGTCGACGGTGGCCTGCATAGGTGACTGGCAGCTGCCGAAGGAAAGAGCTGATGACAAGTGATGACTGGTCGTGATGTTCTGACAGTGAAAGGCTACAAGCTGCCAGTGCTACAACTTACAAGGTAGCCCGCGGCGTACGAGAGCGTGACCATATGTCGGGTGACGCTGTGACATCTCGTGTCTAGGACGCGTTCGCGACTTGGCCACGTTTGACGCAGCACTTTCTTGGTGATCGCCGACCAGGACGAGGACCATTCGAGACACACTGCTTAAACAAGATTTTACACTCGAAGAAGCAAGGCATGTCGGGCGATGCGCTGAATCGCTGGCTTTCCTCTGACGTTCACGACCCTACCGACTTCCCTGGCTCTGCATTACCCATGCGCGACCTAGACGCCGCCCTTCGATGCACCATATGCGGCGAACTCTTCAGCGCGCCCGTCAGTCTGGCCTGCGGGCACTGTTTCTGCTCTGTCGTGAGTCTGGCGTGGACGGAGTGAGGGCGGAGAGTTGACTTCGAGACCAGTGCGTCCGGGAGTCGATACAGCTGAAGCCGGAATGCCCTGCGTGTCGCAAATCATCAAATGAGAGCCACATTAGGAGCGACTCGGCAATAGAGGCTGCTGTTGCTGCTTGGAGGAACGCAAGGTTCGCACCCGCTTGGTTGCATTTTCTCTGCCCATCTGATCGTGACGTTCACTCCAGAGCAGAAGTATTGCGACTTTGTCAGGAGGAAGATGCCCGGAGGAATGCTCCCCCTCCCTCAATCTCACACAGAAAGCGTAAACGAAGTCCAGAATCAACGTGTCATTCTACCCCCCCTGAATCATCCACCGCCAAGTCGTCCAAACCACCAAGCTCTAAAAGAGACAAGACCAAGAACTCGAGCTCCCCTTCACAGTCTCACGAAGATGACATCACGCATATACCTAGTCAGTGAGCCCAGTGTCAGTCTCCTCTTTGCTAGGCAGTCGCCTTACCTGCGTCGCAGACGACGCCCCCGTCCAATGCCCCATCTGTAGCAAACGCGTGCAAATGAGGTTCATCAACGCACATATGGACAACGGCTGTCGCTCCCCGTCCTCCTCAGACGCCGAGGGAAACGGTCGTCCCCCTCGGTCAAAGGGCGACCAGAAGAATGCATGGTCAAAGATTCTGGGCGGGGGCGGGAAGGGTAAAGAGAAACAACGGTCAGTCGAAGCTCATCTCCAGGGGAAATATACGGTTCTAATCGGTAGTAGAGACGATGAATGGCTGCCCCTCCCAAAAGCCTCGTATCACACGCTGAAAGACAAACAACTGAAAGACTTACTAATCGAGCAACAGCTCCCGACAACCGGTGACCGCCAGACCTGGGTTACGAGGCATCAGAGGTGATCGCTCTTGTTCTCGGATTGTCTATCATGCTCACACGGGATCTTGTCCAGATGGGTGCTGCTGTGGAACGCCAACCTGGATAATCAACCCGGTCAGCGGAAGAGCGTGAGCGAGCTCCGGACGGAGCTCAAGAGGTGGGAAGAGTCGCGTAGTAAAGCAAAGAAAGCACCGGTGGTCGAGGATCCCACTGCTTACGAGGTGAGCGACCATAATTTCCTTTGCGTGTCTCATCCTCCAGGTGCTGATGCCGCGGTTCCAATGATGGCAGAAAGCGAACAAGGATCAATTCGCTCGCCTAATTGAGGCGGCCCGACCGAAGAAGTCCGTGAGTCCTGGCGAGGCAGCAGTGGATAAACCTCCGGATTCACCAGCAGCCTCTGGGAATGATGATGACCCGGACGTTATTATCGTGGATTGATCATATTTCCTACGGAACTCAGATATGTATGTCATGATGTATAGTATGTTGTATCTATGGATGCTTCTGTTACCCGTATGTGCACTGATCCGCTTCTCGCGTTTACCGAATATCTGTACCGTCTATGCGAGCATCGTTCCCCTTGCTCGCTTTATTGCCGAAGGGCCAGCTCGGCGACGTCACAGCACAGGGAGCGCCGATTCGTAGCTCATTGGATTGCATAGGGTTCTCCCAACGTGCTCTGGCGAAGAGTGCCGTGCCGTCACTTCCTGCGAGATGGACGTCAGACTTGCCTGCCCTCTTCGCTTCCTTTACGCCAATCGAGTAGCGCCGGATAGTTATTAGCAATGCGCAGCACTGCAGCCAACAGGCAGTGCTCTTGATCTTCCTCCATGTCCAGTCGGTTATCGGTCCTCACAGTTCTCTCGGTGAGCGATATCGGGGTCGTTCATTCTGATGTCATGGATCAAGTGGGCTTATGATCATTTAGACATTGAGCTCGGCCGTAGGCGCAGGCGCTCAGGACGTAGGTTGATCCCCCACTTTCTCTGCGAGGCGCTTACACGACCACATTCCCCATCTCGCAGGATGCCAGTGAGTCGAAGTCGAGGGAAGAGCAATTCGAAGGAGGTATGCAAGACACCATCACCCACGAGCTGATACCTGTCCGACGGGGACGGCACCCGCCCCGAGTCGAAATCACAGCCAGCCGGGGATGTCTGGAGATCAAGTTGCTGCTGCTATCCCCGGTGCCGTCAGAACTCCCGCCTTTCGAGAAGTCGGTGGTGCACATATCGACCACCACGAAGCCCGTGCGCATCACGGTGGTAGGTGGCCCAGTTTGGGATGGATATTACTGGGTACTGATCGAATTCCCCACCTAGTATCGCGCTTGCGGTGCCGAGAGCCATTTCCTGCAGCTCACGATCGCGGCGAAGCCCAGCGCGGACGTGACGATCGTTCTCCCTCTCACGTTCCGGGGTATCGTGAACGTGGAAAGCCACCCAAGGAAGCCTCGCGTGCTCTGCAACACGGCGTTCTCGGGGCGGATGAAGTGCGGATTTATAACCCTAGATCGGGGGCGCACGGCTGCGGTTGACGAGGACGAGATCAGCGTGCGCACGCCCGCGCGCGTCGAGCTGCGCCTCATGGACGCGGGCGACCGCGACCGGCATACGATGCTCGACCGGCTGAAGCTGATCGTCAGGAGATCACTCGTATGACGGGGCGGTGTGCGCGGTGTGCGTTCGAGCCCGACGCAAGCGCGATGGTGCCCAGGTGCATGCCAGTTCGCGCGTTCTTGTTCCATTTACCTACCATACAGCCAGTCTTCCATTGCGTCTTGTGTACGTATACGAGGCCCTGAGGCCTAATCTGCCGTGCCTAGTAATTATCGGTCCGCATTAATGCAATGAATACCTTGTATTCCGGGTGGGCGCGTGCAGGGCAGCAGCACTCGCGCAGGTTGCCATTGTGACTGGGTGTCAAACGGGGGAACAAAAAGCTGCGGGTTGCATAACGGCGTGCGCAAACGAGGAGGAGAATAGCCGTGGGGGAACAAGACATCCGGGCTTCCGGGGACCGCGCTGCATGGCCGGCCGGGGCGACTTCCCGATGCGGAAGCTCCGAGAGGCCGGCGTCCGCGTCTCTTGTTCCCGATCGAGCACAACAACAGGGACAGGCATTCGCGCTGCTGGACATGGCGACTGCCTGCAGAACCGATATAAGCCCCGGCCTGGCTGTCTCGGCCGCTTGCACCTCCCCCGCATCCATCGCGACCCCCGGCTTATAGCCATCCGGCCCCCATCATCAACCAACCCTGCCGCCATGTTCGCCTCGGGCTCCTCGTCCAGTCTGGTATGTACAGCGCACCGGGCATCACAGCGCGCGCTGCACCGTGTTCTGATCGCATGTCTTTCACGTGTAGGAATCGCATTCGCACATGGAAAAATGCCTGGTCGGTATCCCGACTCTTGCTCCGAGCACGTCGGTGCTCGCGTCTAAATTCATAAGCTGACGCGCGCCATGACAGCTCGACCAACCCATGGGCACACAGAGAGTGCACTTTCAGGGCGGGAAAGACTACGACTTTGCGCTCGAGAGCGAAGACAGCCCGATCGACCTCTCCCTCATCCTACCACACTACCGCGCGCGCAACCAGCCGCTCGACCACCGTATGTCGATGTACATCGGCAGCGACAGCGGGCCTATCAAGGTCAAAGTTGTAAGTGTCCACGCTCCTGAGCAGTGTCCCGCACGTGGCTGACACGCGCGTAGTGTCGCCCGCCTTCGCGCACCCCCTTCCAGCTCGAGATCCAGTCGGACGTGTCGGACGTGACAGTATGGCTGCCATCCGACTTTAGGGGGCGTATACAGCACTCGGCCGCGAAGGTCACCTTTTCCGCGGGCTTTACGAACCGTATCATGCAGCATGCGCGCATCAACGAGCCGCTGGACGAGCCATACCCCCTCACGTACTCGTCTCTGGACATTGAGGACGAGGTGGTTGTCAGCACCGCCGGCAATGTCACGTTCCGCATGTGGGACGTTCAGACGTGCGCGCCGGAAAACCGGAGCAAGGAGTGCTGGAAGCGCATGTTCGGATGCGCGAAGAAGGCGCCCGAGACGACCATCGACTGGGACTTCCTCCTCGAGGACTAGGAACTACCCCGGCTCGGATTGATTCTTTTGGATTCTGTTTCGATTTTCGTTGTCGATCCTTCCTCGGTCTTGGGTTCATTTTTCTCGTCCTCCGTCGCGCTCGTTCCCCCATGTCCTGTGTCTCTCACCGCAACATCTTGTAGCTCTTGCAACCATCTCACCATTGTAGCATTATTGCTTTTTCCCTCTGCCATACCTATTTCACGCTCCCTAGACCCGCACGAACCTATATTCTATTACATTCCCTTATTACCCGCTGCACGCACACTTGTATGTAGAGATTATATGGCGCAGTACTATACGGATTAGCTAACCATTTTGTATACCAAGGTTCAGGTTCTGAATATCCCAAATGCCATATGCATGTTACACACGAGAAAAGCTATCGATACAAATCCTATCCGTACAAGCAACCTCAGCCTCAACGTCCAGCCAGCTACTCGAGTCTCTCCCCGCGAAGCCCGGCGCTGGCCAAGCAATCTTCCACTGCACTCAATAGCGCGGGGTTCTCTAGCGCAGCCGCAACCCGTTCCTTATCGTTCAGCTGTTTATTGACTGCACGGGTGCAGATGTCAGTCGCCCGAGGACGCCGCCGATCGTTAATCACGTACTGGCATGTTCGCTCTGGTGCGAACCAGGCTTGACATGAATATCCACCTTGAAGCGCTGTGGCAGACTCCGTAACAGGCGCACCCTGATCGACAAGCCTGCGGAAGCAAAGGCGAACTCAAAATCCACCAGTACCATCCTCATGTGAAGCCACCCACCAATCAAGGTCGACATACCGCAATGCGGGACGGTCGGCGTGAACTCGACGTCGACGAGGTTCGACCCCACCCGTATTTGCGGCGCAGAGACGACCATGAGGTCCTCGAGAGTCATATGCTTGTGCTCGGGATCCGTGATCGAGCGGATGAGGTCTGGCGGGCTTGGGGTAAGCGGAGGCAGAATGGAACGGATGGTGAATATATCGCACCGAATATCTCGTCTTGGTCTAGCGGCTCGACTTCGTCCGAGTCCTCGATGTTCTCCTCGTCCTCGACGAGCCATAATGAGCCTTCCTTTGCGCCGGATTTGCGAATTGTTTTTGCCGATTTGTAGACGGTGGGGTTGGGATTGTAGGCCTCCATAGCAGGATAAAACTCAAAGAAATTCCAATGATTCTGTTCGTTCAAGACCCGTAGCTCAGCGACACGCGAACGTTGTGCGCAAGGCAAACGCAATCGTTGGAATTCATCGGGCTCATGACAAAATCGCAAACCACGTGGCCGGAGCGTCCCGATCTAGATCGAAGCTGCCATCAATACTGAACGCCTCGCTTGCAATTTCTGCCGGCGGCCTCTCCTGTCTTATATATATTGCAACTCCTCTGTCTCGGGCATAGCGGGGGTAATCGTAGATGGCTTTTTGTTTTGCGGAAATCATGTCCGCTGCCCTCGGTATTCAGGGCGGTCGGATGGACATGGCCGTTCTGACGGCGTACGGTCCATGGGACCCGGGAAGGTCCATATGCCAGTATTTACTGCGGTCTTCTAAGAAAGCTTTTCTCTGTGAGTTTGGACGCGTGACGTAACGAATTAATCATCAGTTTATTGAGGGTGCACAAGAGCCTGACCATACTTCAACAAGCGGGCGAATGATACTCTCCAGAACCAGCTGTGGCTTTCGCAACCGCTTCAACAATCGCAATTCACCATCCTCGTACCATTATATTTAGGATTTTCTGAACTTCCTGGTGCTGACACTCCATTTCCTCATCCGTATGAATCCACTCAGGGCCAAAGAAGACGACGTAAGTAAACCTGAGGCAAGCGGTCACAGCAAGGAAAGACGCAATATAGTAGAAACATTGTCTGGTGATTAGGGATACAGGTGTTGGATCGTTACACGGAGGAATACAACAACATAGGCACGGAAGTCTTTGTACAAATCATACAAAGGGCGGTGCCCTCCCGCAGAGTCACCATCATATCGTTGTTTAACAACTGTAAAGGCACAGGTTATTAAAACAACCACATGCTTAGACTACCAGGACTTACGGGCAGCTAAAATCGTAAAGCAGTCGAAGTTGGTAAGTTAATAGGAAACACTCCATACGGGCAAATCACTCACGGCTCGCAGTAACTACGAGGTCATATCATCAGCACGCAGACATCCAAGAGTCTGTAACTCTGGCTTACCTGGCGTAGGGAGGGCAGCAAGTGCCGGTACCGTCCCCAGAGCACTGGTTATCTCCGCTAGAATACAAGTACACTTCGGTTAGCCGAGAAGGAGGAGGGCGGACAGATAGAATGTTACTGACGCAGCTGTAGGGCAACACCCGGCGGCGTTGGCTCCCATGGCGAAGACGGCCATGGCAGCGACGGCAGTAAGGATACGGCTGATGAACATCTTGGATGAGAGTTGCTTGAGAAGAGTAGTAGTAGTAGACGTTGAGTGTTGATTGAGAACTCGATACGCTGAATCGTTACCCTCTTATACGCTCGTGGAAGGCTGTCCATAGGACGGCTGTGGTGCCGAGAGGCAGCGTTGAGGCAGGGAGAGTGGCACACGATGCTCCTCCTGTCCGACAAAGACGCAAGAGCCAAGAGCAAGTGAAGTACCTCCATCGAGAGAATTCGGAATGGCCTGATGCCTAGAGATGTGGCATTCCGAATGACCGCTCTGTCGTCGGAACATCTGGAGGCGTGCAAATTCCACTGGTCCAGTAAAACCTTTTCATAACAGGAGGGTCTTCATCGCGTTGGCTGATGCTGCGTGGAGCGAGTATACACAGACCCATCCGGCTGGACGATGTACATCAGCTGCCCTGATTAGGTTATTAAGGAAACCAAACTCCAACTTGTAAGAATAGCCAACCAAGTTTGCGGTCACAACAATCAGAGCCTGAAGGAGAGGGAAGCATTGCCCAATCCAAGGCTGAGCAGCACATGTACGCAACGATCTGCGGCCAGGGAAAATACGCTTGGATACAACACATACATAGTGCGTGAGTGGGCATACAAGGTGACCCAAAACACAAGACGGAGTAGCCTCCGATAGGTACGGAAGCACTGGAAGCAAATATCCCCACCCGTCCTCAGTACCCTCGGACATAACCAGTCGCTGGTTAGAAATAACAGCTCACATATCAGCAACCTAGGGAGAGATCCATATAGCTTACCTGTGGTGACGAAGCCTGATACACTATACCGTACCACTAATAGTAATAACGGCCGCTCAGACGGAGCGTCAAGGCTGTGCTGGCTCCAAAGGAGATACATACTGCAATTCGTAGAACCGAAGAACACCCCAGTTTCGTCCACCGGCCACGCACGGGCAAAGTGAGTATGGTGTGAGAACGTTCAGCTGAATCCTGTGATCGCGGCGTGCTGGTGGACGGCCCAGCTTTGGGCCCCTCACAATCAGGTCGTGATCCAAGGACTCAGGCTGCCGAAGACATGGAGACCGGCAGAGGGCGCCACATACGTAGATACCAAACGCCGTCTGCACCGGTGTGGACATACTAGGTGGGCATGTGCTGAGTGAAATTCCGAATGTCGCAGTGTCTGAATCTGCGGCTATGACGAGGGTACCGGGTGGGAACTTGATGGGGACTGCAAAGACACGAGTGGGCTGCTGGGTTTTGCCTCCGCCGCCTGCCTAGCTTAAGCTTGCCTAGTGGCATAGAACAGGAGTTCACATCGACAGAACGTGCAGCAAAGCATATTCTGGACAGAAGGATGAGTCTAGAGACGTGACCAAGCTAGAAAGCTGCCAAGTAGAGAACAACCACGTGGCGAGCCTCAGCGCTGTGCTTCACAAACTGAGGGGAACACTTGATCGTGGTCGGTGTGGCTAGACTACCATCTCTATAGTCATGTTGGCATCGATGCCTTCAAAATCGAAACAACAGGGTGCCTGCTTCTGCGGCGAAGTAGTCGCCATACAGAGGCGGCTCATTCAAGGGTAGGATGGCGAATTGACCCTAACCTTTTCGTGTGCAGCATTACCTCAGGTTGTGTAGAAGGATGGGGTACGTCAGGACAACGAGAATGCTGGAGCATACCTTAGCAGATTTGGTGTAACACAGAGACTGACTATAGGCAAACTTATTTGTCGGACTGGGTTCACGTCTCCAGGGGTCAGCCAGACAACAGAGACATCAATTGGTTGTCGCGCCGAGTCTGACTCGGTATGCGCTCTTTACTCTCGACGTACGAGGGCTTGCAGGGCATTCTGACAGCTTATAGTCCGCACCAGTGGCTCGAGGGTATAGGAGGGACCATGTTGCTGCCATTCTTCTCTCCCCCGGTGCTGCACCGTGACCTTAACCGATGGACACGACGCAGATCCGACTGCACCCAGACTGCTTAATGCAAGAAGTGATTCAAGTCGTTCGTTACAGCAGGATACAAGATACAGCAAGTACAACAAGTGGTACTGGTACATCTCCCTATATGTTACACACAACTGAGTGTGCCACATCATAGACTCTTGTTCTCCCGCGATTCTTGATATGTAGTCCGATCGGGCTGACGCGCTTAGCAGCTGGGTGAACCGTGAGCTATTCCAGTCTAAGTCTGAGAAGTTCTGAAACTTACGGGCATCTGCAGTCATGAGAGTCAGTTCGTCTCAGGTCAGTTATTGGGGTTCTTTGGCGGTGAAGCTAATGAGACTACTCACGGTTCGCAGTAGCTGCAGGAATGATTATTAGGCGCATGAAGGAGCGAAGATGGTGGTCGATCTCACCTCGAGTAAGCAGGGCAGCAAGTGCCCGTGCCGTCGCCGGCGCACTGGTAGTTTCCTCTGTAGTGCATAGAACGGTCCCGTCAGCTGTTTGCTAGGCGGAGGAGAGCCGGGAGATCACTGACGCAGCATCCTGGCAGCACTGCGCATTGGCACCTATCGCGAGGACAGCAACAGTAACGACGGCAGTAATAACACGAGAAATGAACATCGTTGTGAGTGTTGTTGAATGGTGGTAATGAACTTGAGTGTGCACTGAGGATTTCAAACACAGAACACTCACCCTTTTATACACTCGCCAGGGACAGGTCTCACACAGGATGAACGTAGCACCGAGAGGTGCTCAGTCATGAGGCCAGTGACCGCAGAGCCATCGGTGAGCGGGATGAAGCAAGTCAAACAGCTCCATTGAGCGAGCTGCGCCGTCCTGAGGACAGAGTTAGTTATTTACGGCCATCGTTCCCGGTCGAGTCTGTACCTGGAGAAGTACAAGTACCGGTGTACCCACAATATCCTTTTCAAAGGGCCGTACGTATTGCATGTAATCATCCGAATGCTCTGCAAGGACCGACTAAGGACAACAAACCGGAGCGGACAGGAGCATAGGACCAGCCGGCGCTTTTTTAGGATAAGTCATCGGCGCCCAATTGATATTGGGTACGGTCTACGAAGGTGGGTATCTCAAGGATAGGCTACAGGTGCGAAGGCTAAGTTCATCATTATGACCGGTTGTCTTTGAGGATGGCCAGCATGCGACTGTCGGAAGGGGCATCCGGTCTACAAAGCCAAGCCTGGCAAGTGCTGGTCGTACTAAACACCGCGCCTCATGAGCATTTCAACCCCGAGCCGTGCACGTTACGAATCGGTTGTTTCGCCCTACCGGAGGCGCCTCTATGTCCGAGTCAGGCCCTCGAACTAGACTTGAGGTTTTATGGTCTCTGTCTGTGCTCTGTACACGTAGTTCAGCACTCGTTGGGCAAAGCAGGATTACATCCCAGTGACCGGGCATGGCTGGATCATTATCGAGCCCAATATTGGAAGATCATACAACCGACTAAGTACACAAAAATACATCACGACGAACTGCTACATAGCCTGATGCCGAGTGGTCCCAAATATTAGTGAGACGCTATAGACGTACGGTGCAGTACTCGGTCGCGATTAGTGAAGTGCAGAGCCTCGCGAACCTTTGCTTCCACTTCCTCGCTCGTCACGGAACCATCGGAGAGCGGCAGCTTCGCTTCCCGCAGTATGTGCAAAATACTCTCCACCTGCTGAGGGGTGCCGTCAGTGCCCTCATACACGGAGAGACGGCGCAGCACAGAATCGATGAATTCCTGAGGTGGATAATCGGAAGCCGGTCGAATGGGACGCCCCGCTATGAAGACAATGTCCCATTTGATGTCTTCGATTGGGATACCCTTCTCCAGCTCGATGCTGACCTCGCGAAGGCGACCAAACAACATCCGGCGTTGGTCCTCGTTGTCGAAACGAGTACGTCGTCGGGAGATGAGCTCGTCTACGGCTTCTTGTGGGGGTAGGCCATCGGGGGGAAAGACGCTTTGGCCAATCGTCACATTTTCTATACGAGGAGTCAATAAAGAGTGGAAACATGCAGATGTAGAGACTTACTGCTCCATATCTGGAAATCTTCGCAGTAGCAGTAGATGTCCTCGCAGTCCACATCAATGACATGCTCCCATGGCGTCAGATCCCTTCGAATCTCCATCTTGCACTCGCCCTTATGCGGAGAAACCCTGCCGAAGTCAATGATACGAACATCCCGTCCGCGGAGGAGTACGTTCGGTACCCGGAAGTCTTCGTGGATAATACCACAGCGGTGTATTTCCTGGAGCTTCCGCAGGATAGTCAATCTACGGCGCTCATCATTAGCTGCTACTTGCAGTAGGACACTGTTCGGCAGACTAACCTGGTGGCGACGGGTAGGTATGGGAAAATAACAGCCGGAGGTTCCCCGCAGTCCTCCAGAACAAGACATCCAAGCGTATCACCCTCGTGGACCGTCTCGTATAAGCCATAGAAGACCGGGACAACAGTCCCCTGAAGGCTGGACAGCTGGTTCTCATACATGTCTCTCTCTGTGCGGAGTTCCTCCAGAGCGTCATCTGTGCGGGCAAATTTCAGGACAACCCTTGTCTCGGTATTTGCAATCTGTGCACGGTAGACGATTGAGCGCGAATTACGACGAACTTCACGGCAGCCGTCTATCGCCGTCACTCCAGTGTTCTGGGATAATTGGTGGCAACCCTTCATTTGCAGTGTCTCTGGTCCCCATGGGGTTTCTAATTCAAATGAGATACAAACAGCAGACATAATCGTCGATGAGAGCATGAGTCCTGGAGGAACACTGGCTATGGTGAGCTCGACTGCACTGTCGCACCCTGAGATCCTTTTGAAGTTCAAACCGATGTCGAACAATAGAGCCTGTTGTTGTCACGTGAGCGCGGCAGAAGTCGCCCATCCTCAGAGTTATACTCATACGATTCGTCGCATCTTGATCGCATTCAAGTTTGATTCAAGCGGCGTAATTTCGCTTTGGCCGACGGTCGAGGGTGTTAGGAAGCGATGTCCTAACTAGTCGTCTTGAAATAACTGGGCCATGTGCCAACAGTTATGTCATCACTACCTCAGTAAGCATACTGAAAGGTAGGTCTGGCCGGGCCAATGCCAACGGTCAAGTCAAGAGTCCAGATAATCGCTGTATTCAACAGGAGGTTGAACTAAGGAATACATGGGTTTTCCTACAGTATATATAGTAACTGGTATAGGGGTTAATACCCAAAGAAGAGAACAATAAGAAAGGACACGTAAGCTATCCTGTGAGAATGTAACTCAGAGAAATGAGAAATACAAGGGTGCCCATTGGTAGAAGGTGAGTCAAGGGAGATAACGTGTGAGAAGAAGATAGCGTCCATGGGAAGGTCTACTCAGAGAAAGGTACTGTCCAATAGCAATGCTCGGAATGGAAATATAATGAGATAAGCATGGGAAAATCATAACATTATCCCCTTCCTATGGTCGAAGTTTACCCAAACTTCCTAGTCATGACCGGTTACCGAACTGTCCAGGTCCACAAGAGTGCCATCATCGTAGTCTTGCTCTTCGGTGGCTTCTTGGATAGCATTGTCCCAAACAGTTTGTTGAGGACAGGCAGATGGATAATGCCTGGTTGAGTGCGT